TACCACATAATACTCCGCCTCTTGCACCCAAGTAAATTACACCAGAGGATGTGTAGTGGGAACTCGAACACCGGGGCCAACATACCTGCTGATACCACTGTCCCTGCTACTGTAAGTTTAATGAAACTAAATAATTTTACAGAATTTTGGCACTTTTCATTTAAAACGTAGGATATATTTCCAACGATTATTCTCACGGCCCGGAGTGTACAATGGGACAGTGTAAGAGATACCGGCGTGAAAACTGCTTCCATTGATTAAACCACTGCCGTTCTTTAGGCTAAAGTGTTACTTTTCTCGAATTTTGCACAGAACTTTGGTACAAAACTGCGTGTATCTTCTCAGCATCAGCACTAATCTTAATATACTATAGGACTTTAATAACATACCTCATTCCTAGCCTGAGCAACATGTGTAATAAATGTTTGCACTATTTTATTGATTCCATTATATTTTCTATCTATAGTACGCATAGCCGAGGAAAATTATTAAACATTCTAATCTAGAATAATATTAAAACACGGCCTTAAAAAATTGAACAGACAAGGTAAAATCAAACAAGCAGTAAAATTAATAGGAATACATTTACTGTATTAAGCACCAGTTAATAATTATATTAATACGGCGGGGCACCTAAGGTGGGAGTGTCATGAGACAGCAGCCCTTCCCAGAAGCTGTTGGCACATATTACATATATATTTTTTAAATTAATTTTCGAAAGTGACGAAAATCATTCAATAGCATATAGTATACGATATAAATAAAGATTAATCAAAAAATAAAAATTACCGGCTTAGGTGGCTCAGGACATCAATTGATGTCACTGCAGGGTCTCTGACCGGGAGGTTCTAGGGTTTGAGTTCCGACGGTGGTAGGACTTTCGACACTAGCTTCATAGTTATGTTGAATTCAATCGCTGTCTGGAGGAGAAGTCTATTGACCGGCAGCTCTGAATGGTAGTTTTCCGTGATTTCTCCGATCAACACCCAGCGAAGTAACCTAACAAACGGGCCACGGACAGAGCGAGAGGTCTCTTTCGCCTTTCTTCTCCTATCATCACCCTTTACTTAAAATCACTCACACTCACATGCACTACACAACCACACCAGCCGCGAGCTTAAGCGGACCCGTCTCGGGCGGTGGCCCTCTGGTGGGAGATTGCTGGCGGGAGAAAACCCCACAAGCCGAAGTTTGCGTCGAATCTCGCCATCCAACGAGAGAAGAGCGCCGCCACCGTCTGCGACAAAACATGTGCTACACTTACGGCACTAATGATCTTAGCCATCCACCGGTATTACTAATCAATCAATAAACAAATAAAAATTAATTTTCATTTCAGCATATGTGAAAATTTCTCCAAAACAAAACAAAGTCCCGGCGTCTATGGAGTCCCGGTTGAAATATTCCAGCTATGCCACTATATTTATAAGCATCGATTAAGTCATATTTATGCAAATACTCGAACTTTACTGACATATTTTAGAAATCTAAAACGCAATCCATATAAGAACTTTTAAATATTATCAATCTAAAAACATTTTATTTCTATTTCCGTTTATTTTCCGTCTTGTTAATGAGTTTTACAGTGCTAAAATAAATGTTTGCAATAAACTTTGACCAACCATTTTAAAATTTCTTGTACAAATAAAACGGGAAAATGGGTAATAGAAAAGTAAAGTACTGTCTTTACATAGTTTAAAATTCAGTCATTAGATTAGTAACTAAGTTAGTGATTTCTAAAATTTGGTTTGAATGGTCAATCAATTTTAACTATATAATAAGAACTTGTTATTTAATATGAACATGAAAGGTTTTATTAAAATGTAGCCACAAGCTAAGGCGAATTTCGAATGAAGGGATCATAAAAGAATTAAGATAAATATATTTTCGAAGAATTATAATTGACCTGAAGATGCCAAATTCGCGATTTTGTGCTTTAGTAGCTTAACACAAAACTCTTTTGAGTTGAATGAATACTCCTAGAAGAGCTCGGGTCACAAGATATCTCTAGTAAAGACATAATAAGGATGAAATATGAGATGAAGGGTATACAAGCGTAGATCTGAGGAAATAAAAAAAATATAAATGTACTCATGTGTGACTAGGGGCTTGTATGAAGAAGACACTATATGTAATACAAAAAAATGTGTTTTTGAAATTAGATTTGTATTTCAAAAAGAAAACTCGTTTGAAATGTACTAGAAATGTTAGGACCTGGGAGGACGTAGTGACTCACTGACTGTCATTGGCAAGTCCCATGAAGCGCCTTCTGATTCATCCAAACACACGAGGAAGAGAATTACTGAAGCAATGACGTAGCCATAAGGTGCCTGTTGAGAGCAACAATTTTCTGCTATCTTTATTAACAAAATCTGAACTCAAAGTTCGAAGTATCAAGAGACCTTTTTGAATTGATTCTAAATTAATATATTGCATTTAATCTAAAATGAATATTTATTTTGATTCTTATACGAACAATTATTGACTTATTTATTGTAGAAACTTCGAATATCCTTTCTCTACGGAATACGTCCTTATAAATAATACTCTAAGGATAGAGATTGGTTTATTACGAGTTATAAGAAACCTTCTAATTGGGCTTCTTCTGGTTAAGGAATTACCGCCCAGTCATGAATCAATTTGATTTAAGAGAAGAAAAATGTAAGTTATTTTTAGATTACGACATAGGAACAGATTTCTGCAAGACATATTAAACTCGAGCGTAAACTATACGTCCTAGGCTCTTAAAACCAACATTTCATTTTTTATATTATACAAGTGTAGTGGGTACTGGTGAGTTTTATGAAGACACGAGTTTTTGGACAAGTTTTTGGGGTGACAAATCGGGACAGTCAGGGACAAGTGAGGATATGTAGGGGACAGACGTGGACAGGTGTGGCCCGACTTATGTTTTAAGCAATATTCTACCATTGTATAATACATTATTAAATCTTCAATTAAGTTTTGGGGATATTCTTCTGGAGACCCCTACTTCTTAGTAAGGATGGTCAGATGCGCAGTAAATCGAAATCTGCGTAAACTTTAATTGAAGAAATAGAGATAGAAATTATGTGCCACGATAAAATTAAAATGACTATTCGATTTTGTTTGAAATTAAATGCAAAGCAACATAAGTATTCTAACTCAACACATCTTTACTCGCGCACAATACCAGTCGTATCAATTCAGAAACGTGCTCTTAATATTCATTATGAAGATATTTGCACTTTAAAACAAGAACTTACAAAGTGCGGAATGTTTGCGCGAGCATAGTTAGTAATAATTAATATAATAGCTTATAATATAATAGTTAATAAAAATTAATATATTAACATAATATGAATGTAACACGGTACACCCTCGATAGTACGAACTTCGACTCAACACGAAATTCGTTGTCAAAGGAAAAAAATGGGTTTCGCCAAAGAAACTTAGTTAAGAGGATATATATGGAAATCAGTTAACGAATTTTTATAACAAGAATAGATTCTTTCAGACCCTTGGAATTCGTGTTAACGATGGTTTACCGTATTATTTCATTAATTGAATAGTTCATAAAAAACTTTTTTTAGAATTAACATTCGTAGTAGGGCCGCCCTAAACTTATTAAACTGAATATATGCAAAGTATAGTTTTATTACTGTAATAAACAAAAACGACAAAACACCAATATTATATCTTCTATCAGAAGTAAACTTGCGCGTATTTATAGAATTAAAACGATATCGAACTTTTAAACCTTAGTAATGACGATTACGTTACCGGTAAGTACCGACAGTACCGATAATTTCAGACGACTCTTAAAAGACAAGCCAGATCACAATTTTACGAAAACGATGTTTTTCTATATGTTTTCTTCCCATGGAATAAAAATTAGATGATATCTTGATATACGTCCTGGCAATAACGTTTCCCCCTCCTCTCCAATTATTATGTGTTATTGGTAGTAAATCAAATTCATATATTCATATTATACATGTATTAAACTTCTTCTGCATATATTTAATAATGGGAAATTCTATATCAAACGTTTGTGACATTCATTGGTTTTCAAACACTATTTGAAGAATTGGACATGTTAGCTCATGCTAGTTTTTTGTGTATTAGACATAGTATATTAAATGTATTATCAGAGTTTCCTGAAGTTAAATGTTCTAAAAGGAAACATACGAATAGGAAGATTCGTTCGTTGCAGCATATTCTGTCAGAACACCAATACCAATATGTCGCTCATTATTAATGATTTGAAAATACTGCATTTGTAAATTAGAATATTTTACATAGTACTATTCAGAATTCCTATGTAATTCGCAATTGAGCAGCTGCCAAGCAATTATATAAGTTATAGAACAAAATAATTTATTTTAACGAAATTGAAGGCATGAATAAAGTCAAGGTAATACGGCTATATCTCGTTTCCACAAATTAATAAGTAAAAATCAAAAAAAGTTAATATTGATTTTACTTTACGAAAGAGATTCACATAAGTAATGTAATTGAATAAGTCTCCAAACATTTAATTTTTTTCATAATTCTCCAATCATTTTGTTGAGAAATATCAATAAAAATAAGTTCAAATAAATAATACAAAATTATTTAAAACTCATTATAAAAATGAAATGTTCTCCATCTATTTCTAAACAGTGCAATATTTTTTAGTCGGTAATTGCTCTTTTCGTCTCCCTCAAAAAGCAACACATGTTTACTAAACAAGTTATTGTTTAAGTTTTGGAAAGAGTTTTATTCGTCATGGAACGAAGAAGATAGCATTAATGCACACTAATACAATAGATAGTGTGAATAGCCAAAAATAAAAGAAAATTATTACACTCAAGAATAGCCAGGATCAGAATTTTTCTATGAGGGGGAGCAAAAAATATGGATTGTGAATGCCGCTACTAAGGTTTCATAGGCAAGCAATGGAATAAAACTCGAAGAGGAAGAGACTCCGAGAGGGAGACAGTGACATCGTAACCAATTTTCTGCCCAATCCCATCAGAACGACGAAGACACTGAGTAGAAGGAAAAGAACAAGAGCGGCACGACGGGGAGTGGAGGCTGAGAGACACGGCCGCCTCAGCCCTGCAACACCATTCGCCACTCGACGTCACCCTCTCGCCTCGAAGACAGCGAAGCTGCCTCCCCCTCCCCCTGCGCGGGTCGCGCGTCGCCGGCGCCACAGACCTCCCGAGGCGGCGCTGATGAGCAGCCGAAGGCCCGCGACCACCCTCGCGCCGGCCACCTCGCGCCCGGCGCCGCCCCGCCACCGCGCCACCGCCACCGCCGCCGCCGCCACGGCCACCACCCGCCCCACAATGCCCCAGCGGGGCGGCCCCGCCTCGCCGCGCGCCATTGGCCCCTCCAACCCCCGGCGCGCGCTCATTGGCCCGCGGGGCGGCGGGGTGGGGGGCGTGCGCCGGGCCGGCGCGCCCGCGGATCCTGGGTAGAAAATTTAACTTAATATAAATTGAGTGGCATGTGGTTGGTGACAGTGCTCCGCTCTGTGCTGCGCGTCGTCGTGTTACATTAGATTAACTTTCATCTAGCCAGATCAGGGCTCGTTTACGGTTAAAAAGCCTTGATTCTTACCAATCACTCGGAATTAAACGTCTTTTTCAACGGCCAGGATTACTGCGCGGGACTTGAAAAAAACCGCGTGTGCGCGTGTGTGTGAGTGCGCGAGTCGTTGTGTGTAGATTTTGCGCCGCCGGCATTTATTAGCGTCCATTGCGGACAATCAAGCAAAAATCAGGCGCTTAACGAACGTCCATTTCTCGCCATCAACGCGGGGGCTGGTCGCGTATTTTCTTCGTTTCGCGCGGAAGGTTTGACGAGCCGTCGTTTAACGACGGCAATTTAGTACAATTTGGTGGCAGCCGACGGACCCCGCCCCGTACGTACCCCGCGGGCGCCGCGTCGCCCCTGCGCGAACCCTGCTGCGTGTGTGTGCGTATGAATGCGTGTGTACGGAAATGAGAGCATTTGTTATGAATGGTCATCTAGATGTAGTTATGTCAGCGCGACAGGTAAGATATCGTCTGCTGCGGTCAGAAGTTAAAATGAAAGCTGGGAATGGAAAAGTTTAGAATATGAAAGTGAAGGTATGGCTTGATTTTAGAACACACTCTTTAGAATTGTGTCGTGAATTACATAATAGAAATTAAAGCAAGAAGTGGGTCAATCAAAGAATTGAGTAATCAAGACATACGTGGATCACCAGGAATAGTTTTATTTGCCGAATCTACGGCATAGCACAATTATTCTTTAATAGATAGTTATTTTGGACAAAACTATACATCTTCACACATCGCGAATAACTTTCCAACGATTTCTTGCATGAAACATCACGTAACGTCGCGCAATTGCAAATTGAAAGAAAGGGAAATATAATCATTATTATTTTTTCCTTAAATATTCTTAAGCATTACCTTCCAAAATTTTGAAATTCTGTGCTTGTTTTCGAGTATTTAATTTTAAAATTGCATGGAATGTGAATTTTACTAATAACTTAACTGATACAGAATATTTTACTTCAGAACTTACAGCAGTGATAAAATATTGACAGTTTTGAATTATTTTTCTGATGTGAAAAATATCAAATTCTATTCAGAACAGAATAGATAAACTTGTTAATATTCGTCATGATTTTAAACACTTCTTTTGGATTCACGTAGTATACTAGATGATAAGGCAACATGCAACACCAAATAATTAATCTAGAATTGTTTGCGCTAACAACAAATATTTATCGTCGGTCTAGTTGCAAGTGTGTGTAAAACAATCTCACCTCCCTTCACAAACAACATATGTACCCTACATTACCTTTCATGTCACGTCTTCTCTCACATCTGTATTCGTTGCACTCATGAACGCACTTTAATTCATTTTATCCACTGCATGACCTTTCCAAAGCAAGAACTTCCTTTTTTCTTGCAATATGGGAGATCTGCGTGACGCACAATTAATTTTATATGTTACGTTCTCCACAACCGCTGGATTTCGAAGCATGAATATTCAAGTACGGCGCTGGCGTTCGTCGCGGCGATTGGCTGGTCGCGCAGGCCACGGACTGCCCCTCTCGCGTTGAGATGGGCCTTACCGAAACGTGCTGCGGGCCCGCGGGAGGGGGAGAGTGTCAATTTGAGACATGAGTAGGGGGTACTTATAGAAGGGGAAACATTCGTAGGAGGGGCAATGAGTAAACTAGGAGCCTAGAGTTACAACATTTATTATCTCATTTCACGAGGAATGTGATGCCCAAAATAGGCGATCATTGTTGCAAAGTCTCTGACCTTGCACGAGCGCGAACGTTGTTTACTAGTATACGTATTGAGTTATAGACAGTGAATTTAGCACAGTAACATTTCAAGGTCGTGATCATTTTGTATTAAAAGTTCTTCGAGAAAAATATTGTTCCGTTTTGTTTTGTTTTTTAAATGTGAGACACACACACACACACACACTAATGGCTAGTAATATTAGTAATTGATCACTAATGGGATATTGTTTTAAAATTAATAAAGCTGTTATATAGAAATTTGGATTATTTACTATTTAGGGATTTTCATATCATGAATTCATTACCCACGTTTATTTCATAATTTTAAAGCATACATTTAATGTTAGGAATGAAAATTTGTTTAAAAAGTTCTGCAAACAAGTTATAAGAAGAGTATTATTTACAACTATTATGCATGAATTTTGGACATCTGAAGACTAATAAATCCCCCTCCATTTGGTGCGACATATGCTTGAGCATATGAATGTATATGGTCTTAGAAATGTGTGTAAATGTGTGTGAATGTAATGGGATATGTATTGTATATTAATGCCATTTTAATTTCTTTGTTATCAGATCAGTATATATATATATATATATATATATATATATATATATATATATATATATATATATATATATAACTGAACTCTCGTGTGTTACGAGTGTGGAAATGTATTCATGTTTCCAAAGGTAGTGTTGTGTTATTTGAACTAAAACTTGTATGCTAGTAAAGTACTGAGTCGATACTCGATTTTGATTTAGCTTGGTCCATAGACATTTTATATGTTAAAATGAACATGATTCAACAATATGCATTGGTGGTCAATAACACTTTTAGTTATCTCTGTGGTACTCCTCAGTTTGGACCTGGCTTTTTTCTTTAACACTGCTTTTAATAGGATACATGTTTGTGGAGATGTACTACTCTACTAAACATACCCTACGAGTATTAAATAGTTCAAGAGAAAAAGTGCCCAGCTTACAAGTTTACTGCAAATAAGTAGTTCACGTATACGTACCACTTAAACATTAATTACTGACCACCCTCCTAAATGTGTAAATCATCTTCCGTTTTGAACGGTCCTGTAAGCCGCTCATTTACTCCCCAAAGCACTCGCAGTATTTCACGTGGAGCGAGGCGCTGAGGCAAAGGAGCGGTGCGAGCGAGGGCGTGTGCGTGTGGCGCAGGGCCATGGAGGGCGGCCCGTTCGACGACGCGCTCTTCTCGGAGCTGGCGGGCTGCGGGGCGGCGGGCGGCGCGCTGCTGGCGCCGGGAGCCAAGGCGGCGGCCGAGCGAGGCGCGGCGGGCGGCGGCGCGGGCGTGCACTCCATCCAGGTGCGCCCCCTCCCCCTCCGCGACACACCGCTCGCGCTTATTCAAATTTCTATTCAAATTTTGGTCCAATTGTCAAAAATGTCTAATAAAATTGGATCCAACAAACACCAACGTCGGATCTAGTTTGGTCTAACACTATTCATAACATAATATAGTCCATATAATCACTATTTCAGTATATTTCAGTCAAAAATGAAATCACAGCACATAATTCTAAATCACTAAGTCCCAAACGTATATAATAAGAAAAATTACGATGAAATAGTCAGACTTGACTTTTAAAAGTGACTATTTTATCGTCATTTTTCTTATCTGTAGCACAAACACAATAGGTAAACAGTGCTAGTTTAGGGCCAAGTCATTTGATGGCACCACGAAACAATGTTTCGAATGGTATAATTGCATTTATTGCTATAAAGAATGTTTCATGAAGCTGAATGACCTCAGGTTCATGCGTGAAATCGAAATGAAATTTATTTCTACAATAAACAATATTCATAACAATAAATACAATTATAACATCTTAAACATTGTTTCCTGCAGTTATCAAATGCGTCAGCTTTCAATGGTTGTTCTACAACTGATTTGCAAAATAAATAATAAAGTAGCTTTCACGGACCCCATTCCACAACATTCCCATTATTATTATTATTATTATTGTTACTATTATTATTATTATTATTATTATTATTATTATTATTATTATTATTATTGGGAGGTTCCTTGGAAAAATCTAAATTTCAATAGAAACGGTTCACGATCATACAGTAATTGACAAACAGTACAGATGATGGGTGAACCGTAATCAACAATGGTAATACGAAAAAGAAAAAAACAACAACAAACAAACCTACAATGTAACAGACCCCTCTCTGACAAGAACAAAAAGTACTTAGAGAGGGTTTGGAGTGTACTGGATAAGAAAATATAAATTTGATAAGAACGGTATTTTCGCTAAAAGGTTAAACAGGATGTAATGTATATCATGTAGTCTAGCAAAATTAGTATTCTTTCTTCTAGTTTTGTTGTTTTTATGGTGGTGTTTTTTGTTGTTTTAAATTTGTATGTGTAAATAGGAATACTCGAACACTGTCAATGTAATTCTTTGAAAAAATATTATTATTATTATTATTATTATTATTATTATTATTATTATTATTATTATTATTATTATTACTATTACTAGTGTTATTGGGTCGCGAGCTTTAGCTGCAACCCCGCGCGCGCGGCTCGTGCCTTTGGGAGTCTCGCCCAACTCGCGGCCTCCCGGCAGCGGCTCCCGCCCTTGCAGGTGATGCTGGGGCTGCAGCACCAGGAGCTGGTGCTAGCCAAAATGGAGAACGCGTCCCCAGGCGCCGCGCCCTCCGATCTCTACGACCCCGCCAAGCAGCAGCAACAGCAGCAGCAGCAACAACAACAGCAGCAGCAGCAACAGCAACAACAGCAGCAGCAACGCAAGGACCAGGAGCAGCACGTCATCACCGGACTGGCACCGCCGCCGCAGCCACCGCAGCAACAGCAGCAGCCACAACAGCAGCCGTCGCAACACGCGGGTAGGTAGCCGTATTTGATGTGTCACGGAAGTAATTACTGCATTCTTCTCGAGTTTTTGCTTCTTATTTTAATGCTGATAAGTTCGTTGAGCTCATATCTTCCTTTTTTTCACGACATCCTTCTTTACGCTTGGTAACAACTAAGTGCTGCTATTTTCTTCACATTTCGATTCAGTGTCTGAATCACATAAAACATGGAGTTCAATTCCTTTTAATGAACTTTGATTTTGTAATAAATGAAATATTACTCTTATTCTGTTTCGCGTCTTCACGTTTAAAATAATCATTACTATATAATACGAATTAGATGCTAGTAGAATGGTTAAATATCTCCTTTGTTTATTGAAACAATCTCTTAATTTCTAACGGTGTGTCGGAATCAAAGATAACAATCTCTAATTATGATCTCACGATATCAGTTCGTGGATCAGATTCTCTAATGACTTTTCGTTTGACCAAAAAGAAAACAAGTGAGGTAAGTTCAGAAAAATAATGAGGCGATATGTCTTCGGGTAAAATCAACATCAGAGAAGAATTACATAAAAAAGGAAATGAATGTGTCATATTTTTAAGATCATTTAAAAACTATTAGCAGAAAAAACTGTAGGATCGTTTTGAATACTAATGAATAAAAAATATGTTTATTATGATTTTATATTCCCTACGAATTTTATTAATTTTAGATGTGAATACTTTCTCAAGTAAAATAACGAAGGTATTTTTGAAAATTCTATTTTATCTTACATTATTTGTAATCACAATAAAGATATAGAGATAATTGTTGCTCTTTAAATAAGAATCGTTTCACAAAAGTATCTTTCCTCGGAGAATTGCAATGCTTTATACTTCTTTAGTGGTATAAAGTAAAATATAATAAATCGAAACTTACCATATATTATTTATAAACTGAATGCATGCAGTACTTTTGAAACTATTATTTATAATTTAATTACATAAAACAGTATTTAGTAATCGGTATTTAAAATAAATGTACAACACTATAATCGACAGAAGAGAGCAACGATAATTATAAGAAATCAGTTAATTATCGGAAATTAATTAGCATGTAAAGTATGGAGTCGGAGTCAAGTGGCCTCAAGCACTGACCACGAATTCGGGAGAGTTTGCAGGTTATCCGACCATACCCGCGTTCCTGCTTTGGCACGATCGCCCATGATCATTTTTTATACATTTGATGTCTCTCTTTAAGGTATCAATGCAATAACTCATCCCACGCTCCCATATGCATGAACTTGACTCGAACCTTTCTTAACACCGACCTCAAGACCCTACAATTGTCATGTATATGATTGTGTGCAATGCAATATATTTTACTTGTTGATTCGACAAAAAATAAATACAGGGTAATTTTGAATAGCAAAATCAAACGCAATATTATACGATTATAAATAGTGGGCAAAGTAAATGATTAAAGAATCATATAATTACAGGCTCACTGGACCAACCGCCTCCTCCACCACCGCCTCCTCAGCAACCTCTGGGGACCACGGCCACGCCCAAGAAGTCGGACTCGAAGAGCAAAAAGGCCGACACCAACGGCGTCAAGAAGAAGAAGACAAGGTGAGCACCCCAAGACATTATCTCGGCGCCTCACTGACACAGTCCATTAACGTTTATAATTCACGATTATCATTATCGATACTCATTAGTGTTTTGAGCACATTACTCCGATATTATCAGAAATTGAGTATATTACTAAAAATGATATACCGTTAATGGAATGTAAACTACGAGAAACATTACGATTTACATGTATTTCTAATGTATAGTAGTGTATTTTGAAATAGCATATTTCTAAGCTATCATCATTTTACAAACAATAATCGTTTATTTAGTATATTTAGTTTATTTTTTACTTTTTTACTTCCTTTTCCTGCAAACACGAAATCAGTGACAAAATGACGAATAACCCTGAATGTGTAGTTAAAATCAGGATGAGTATAATAAACAGCATTATCAGCTAAAAGTATTTTAATATTAAAAAAGAAAAAAACACACTACACTAATTACTTAAGTATATTAATTGAAAGTTTGGTCGATGGCATATTTTTCGAATCAGCTTGAAGTTTGACATTAAGACCCATAAAAGACGACTGAACCAGACAGAGCAAGAGGAGGAGAGTGTACGGGGATCAGATCGGCTTAGGCCGTACAGGGCATCAATTAATGTCACTTCAGTGCTTCTGATCGGGAGGTCCAAGGGTTCAACTCAGGAATTTCGTCACAAGCTACATAGCTAGATCGAATGCAGCCTCTGTCTGGAGGGGAATTCTTTTGACAGGCTGCTCTGGCCGGTAATTTTCCGTGGCTTCTCCGATCAACACTAGCCAAATACCGGAGCAGTACCCTAACAAATGGGACATGCACCATGCGCGATCTTTCTTTCATCTTCCTTGTCCTATCCTCACCTCTTACTTATCCACTCTCGTTCTTCCACTGCTCTACCATGTACGTACCTATGTCGGGTGGGGAGGTGCCCCGCTGGTCGGGAATATAGTGAAATTGGTGGTGTAATTGGTGAAAACACCGCAAGCGGACGAGAAGATAGGCGCCGGATAACATCGTCCGTCGGGGGCAGATCACCTCCACCGAAAATGCACTGTACTTAGCGAGGGCGTGTCCGCAGGACGACGTTCACGGCCTACCAGCTGGAGGAGCTGGAGCGGGCGTTCGAGCGCGCGCCCTACCCTGACGTGTTCGCGCGCGAGGAGCTGGCGCTCAAGCTCAACCTCAGCGAGTCGCGCGTGCAGGTGAGTTCGCGCCTCCCGCGCTTCGGCCATCAGCAAGGATTACCAAGGATTCGAATGTGGGGGACTTGTTCGGTGGCGTTTCATCTAGCCATTCTCTAGTCACTCTTCCTTACTTCATTTCTGCCATCTATAAGGCAATTCTTCGTCTTTTATGTAGCTCTGTGAATAGAGAAGCTCGTGTAGCAGGAGGTGAATATATGGCGATGGTCAGGAAAGGGTATCGAAAGATAGTGGATGCAATCCCCTGCCTTCTACAGTGATAATTCTGAAGGTGGCCACAATCAGTTCCTCAGTATATGCGAAGGGAGGAGACTTACATCTTTCTACCCTACCTTTTCCTGCGTATCATAGTAAGGATTTTACCTGGATGGATAATGGCAGGAGTAATCAAAAGTAGTGAACTACGTTGGTGATGATGAATGGTTATAAAGAAATTATGATTTAGGTCTCACACGTGATGGTAGTTAAAACGAACCACGTCATAATCACTCAGTGAGCTAGTGAGGCTAAAACAGAACGTTTCGTCCGTATTTTCACCCAAAATTGAGGGAAAAGTACTAATTTTTTTTAACTTTTGCATGACCTTATTTCAAAATCTATCTTCAAGGAACAGTTTTCATTAAGAAAACTTTGAACTTTTACTATTTTCGAAAAACAAGGGTTTTCAATGAAAATTAGGCATGTACTATTTTCTTAAATGTCCTTTACACTATCCATAAAAAATTAAACAAAAACGATGAAGACATTTTTTTTTAATTCTGAAAATGCCCAGGGACGTTATGTAAAGTACCTCCCAAATTTAAAATATCGGATTCAAATTCAAGGGGCCGCGAAAACAGCCATATTAATTGGGAAATATCAATTTTGGATATAGTTGGCTGAACGGATTAACCGCTAGCATTGTTCACAAACAGACAGGCAGGCGTTTGGTCGTCATTCGATATTTCGATATCAATGATCCATAAAACATATATTTTCGCTACACTACACGATAGAGAATTATTTCTAAATTTACAAACTGGATATATCCACTTTTTCGTTTCCAAGGCTCTGTAATAAGAGTATTCCGCTAAAAAAATCGCCGTTTTTATGCGCAACATTACATAACTTTTTCTCTATCTCGTAGCAAGAAAGTAAAACGCGTTTTTTTCACTCGTCTGACAACTTTTAAAACGCACTCTCCCTCCGAATCCACAACGCACCCTGCGAGTCAGTTTCAACTATTACGATAACAATGCTAAGAAATGCGCCATGTGTTTCTCTTCTCTTTGCACCACGGAGTCGGCGCGGCGTGTTTCAGGTGTGGTTCCAGAACCGACGGGCCAAGTGGCGGAAGCGAGAACCCCCCCGGAAGACGGGCTACCTGCCGGGTGCGTGCTCCGCCGCCCCGGCCGCCGCTGCCGGTAAGAAACGCTGTTTTTCTTCGCCTTTCTTCAATTTCATTTCCGTTGCCGTTTCCCTGATATTACCCTCGGCAGACGTTCAGAGGCCTGAACTCACTAGAACCAGGTAGCCGATCGCATCCATGGGCCCGTTCCAGCAGCGATAGTTCATAAGCAAGTTGAGGTCAGAATGGCTCAGACTTTCCAGTATTAGTTTTCTATTTCCTTTGGTCTCGGCCACCTATTTTTGCCTGCTGCCATCTGTCGCCGTCCTAAATACGTTTTTTTCAACTTTTCTCAATTTTTCGGTTTTTTAATAGTATAACGGAAATATTATTTTACGAATATTAAAGAACAGCGAAACCTCGTCCTAAATGGCAATTTTCTTTAATACATTTGGAGCACTAAATGGTGCCTAAGCGCTGCAGTAAATTCGAAATTTAAAGGTCTTTTTCTTAACAAATTTTTGAATCGTCGGAAAATATCATTAGAAGTCATTTGAAGCACTTAACTCACAACTACAATAGAGTTTACAAATTGCTGGAAATGTGCATATTACCGGCTTGAGAAATAAAATAAAAGAAAATTACAATTGTGTAATTTTTGAAAACAACAACCAAAGATACCTCGAAATCAACTCTACGACATATTAAAGAGTGCAAAAGCACTATTCTTTCAAGAAGTTTGAAGAAAAAAATTGGAGCAATTTTTGAGAAAATGGTGTTTGAGCGTTTCTGAAAATGCGAATTTTGATCTAGCTTTGACAGAAAACGGTTGATTTTTCGAGAAACCTTATACATTATTTAAAGCACATGTACTCATAAATATAATGATGGGAAGAAATTGTCACTAATACAAAAAAAATATATAATAATATAATATAATAATATAATAAAATAATTGTATAAAAATTAACGACGTCAGAGACAAATTTTAAAAAATCCATTATTGTGGTGTCAAACATTACAATTGTTTTTAAAACAAAAGAATATAGCATTATGTCATATTATATATTACGTATATAACAATCTCTAACAAAAGTTTTTAAAAAGTTGTAACGGTTTTATAGAAAATCCTTTTTTTGTATTTTTTTAATTGCACATATTGCTCGCAATATAGCGCGAAAACTTCTAAAACTTTCAAAAAATGTACATAACACTTATAAAAGAACAAAAATATGCATATGAATCTCTATCTTCAATTTTGGAGTTGTAGGAAGACGCCGCCCCAAAAAATTGAAATTTTGAAATTGTCGAAAATTCAGAGTTAAACATAAAAATCCGATCTATGCCACCTTTATAAGTGTATTTTAACCCATTCTTAGAAGAAATTTAACGAAACAATTTGGAGCTTTTTGAGAAGATTTTGAAAAGTTTTGAAAATGTCCGGGCGCTTCATATAAAGTACACCCAAATATTAAGTTTTTTGTTGTTGTTGTTTTTTTTTTCAAAATCTCAAAGTTTCGACTCGATTCAGATGGGCAGGGGTTTCATTAATTAGAAAAAATTCCTACGTGGTTTAGGCGCAAGTGGTGTTAACAGAACGAAACACGAATAGACGGATAGAACGGATAGACGGAACAGAAAGACGGATAGACGGACGTTTTGAGAAAACACAACACTTTTTCGGTGGGACCCCAAAATGTGTATTTTCGTGGACATCTCGAAATCAATTTTCTGCTGCATTACATAACTTTCCCTATACTACGAATAATACTCCGTATATACGTATGTATACGGGAAAGTAAAAACTTAAAATCTTATAATAAATGTTCTATTACTGTTTGAAATATGCCACTCAAAAGATGAATACCTTTTATATGTACGTACCTGAAGTGTGTTATAACATAATTGAGATATAGTTGAACAATCATCCAGTAAATGTTTTGAAGTCTGTAGTAAGTCTTGGAAATCATTAAGTTTAAAACATGTAAAAAAATAAATTAAACCCAAACTGGAATTTTTGGTCTGAAGACTGGTTCGATTTTTCATGACTCTAAAAGTTTATCTGAATGTTACATTGTTTGTTTGTTTTTTAAAATGATCGTCCATCCATCTTTCTGTCCGTCCGTCTCTATGGTGTATGTGAACAACACTAGCGCCTAAACCATGCTTAGTATTTTTTTTCAAATTGATGTCCATTTGGTCTGTGTCAAAGCTCTGCGATTTTGAAAATCATTTATTGTTTTGTGGGGGCACTTGACATGAAGCCCCTGGGACATTTTCAAAATTTTCTCCAAAACGGCTCTAATTATTTTTTAAATTTCTTGTAAGAATGTAGTAACATTTATACACTATAAAGGTGGCATAGGTCCGATTTTTACGGTTATCTACGAATTTTTCTAAAGTTTTCATTATTTCCAGCTTCTTTCTACAAAATTAAAGATAGAGATTTTTCCTTCAAATGAAATTTGTTCATTGTTCATAATCAGTTCTTTCAATAAAACCATGTACATTATTTTGAAAACGTTAGTAGTTTTCAAGCAATATTGCATGCAATTTTTGCTATTTTAAAAACTTACAAACAGATTTTTAAACACGGCTCGAATTCTTTTCTTTAAATCTTTGTTAGGGATTGTGGTAAATGCACTCTATAAAATGACATAAATGTCATATTGCTGTATCCTTTTGTTTTTTCAAAAATTGCGAAAATATAATTCTTTTGACTTGTCTCCCAAGTCATTGATATTTACATTAGCAGCAATTTTTTCACATTATTATATTTATGAGTATAGGTTCTTTATAAAATGTCTGATAAAGCTTTTGGAAATCTCAACCTTTTTGTGTGAAAACAATCTCAAAATTTCGCATTTTCAGAAAAGCTCAAACGTCATTTTCTCAAAAACGGCTGCAAATTTTTCCTTTACACTTTTTCACAGAATAGTGCTAATTGCATTCTATAATATGATGTAAAGTTCATTTCGGGGTATTATTTTGTTGTTTCAAAAACTACACAAATGTAATTTTCTTAAAAGGTCTCTCACGCCGTTAATATGCATATTTCCAGAAATTTTTAAACTCTATCATATTTGTGAGTTAAAGTGCTTCAAATAAGTTCTTGAAGTTTTTCGAAAACAAAAAGAATTTTATGAAAAAGCCCTTCTAATTTCGAATTTACTGTGGCGCTTAAGCGCCATTTTCTTAAAAACGGCTCCAATTTTTTCAACGAAAATTTGTCATTTGGGTTGAGGTTTTATTGCTCTTTAATATTATTAAAATAATCTTTCCGTTCTACTATTAGGAAACCAACAATTAAGAAAAGTTCAAAAACATGTACTTCGAGCGGCGATAGATGGCAGCAGGCAAGAGCATGTGGCATGTTCGAATAGCTAGCGAGACCAAAGAAAATAGAAAACTAATACAGGAAAGGCAGTGCCATTCTGTAGCACCACTAGTTTTTGGATAAATCAAAGAAGCAGTTACTTGGCGCGACCCGTAATACCGGAGAGTATAACGGGTTGCGTCTTTCACAAGTCTGTGCGCTGTACTTCCTGTTTGCTGCGATAAGTCATATTTACATTAGAGTAAATATTATTCCCGCTTCCTCCTCATTCGTAAATACCCTTTTTAGCCTACGAGACTAAATAATCGATACTCTACTTCTCGCTTCAATCAAATTAGTCGGATAATTTTAGTACTCAGTCCAGTTAGTTACGGCAAGGGAAGATAAGGTTGGGTGCGGACCGTTCTTCGCGTGAACAGAAGGTGCTTCTCCGGCCTGGAAGTGATTAGGAAATATACAGAAAGCACCGTAGCAATCTAAAAACGAATTCGATCCTAACTCACTCGTGCTTAACATAAGAAGGAATTTTCTCAACAAGGAACACTTAACCTTCGAACATAAAGCTAAGCACTAACAGTTAAGCCTGCATCACGCCTGCCATAAATCTAACACATCTTCTACCTTGTATAGCGCTCAAAATTGTGTCTTATACAACGCAGAGTTTGTTATTATATTTGCTCGAAAATATTACATTGGGAAAAATAAAATCTATTCTTCATATCCCCACTTTTGATAGTTGATCTAATCCTTTCAAAAACTTAAGCAGCAGAAAAGAAATAAAAACCTTTGATGCTTATTACTCTATGCCTCTCGCAATTCGGCAGCATGGGGGCGGGATAGCTCCCCATGTCCCCTAGCTAGCCAGTCGCTCGTCGCTGAGGCAGTGCCGTGGCGCGCAGGGTCGCCGGGCGGCGCGCTGGGCGCGGGCTTCGGGCTGGCCGGCTTCGGCGGCGGTGCCGGCGCCGGGCGGCGCCGGGCGCGGCGGGCGGCGGCGGGGCCGCGCTGCAGGCCGGACGCCTGGGGCTCCTACTCGGGCTACCGAGCTGTCGCCGCACCTCAACCTGCTGCAGCCCACGGCCGGCGCCTACTCCTTCACCGGCGGCTACTCCACCGGGTACATGATGGCCCAGGCCGACCCGGGCCCCGCGGAGTTCGGCCCTGGTAAGTTCGCCTTCACTTGCCCACACGCAGTTGCCGACGCCTTCAGAGCTCTGTTCATTTCCAGTTTTAATTTCGATGTCTTCACTGTTATTTACTTCTTTATATTATTAATATTATTGAAAAATCCTTATCGACCATAAATAATATATTGGAGTCAGGTGACGGGCTTGGTCAGTAAGAAGCAAAACGAAATTAAAACATGATTGTTTGCTAACCTTTATATATAAAAAAATATAATTCATCCTCAGGGCTTTCAACCACCACAGAATGTATACATAATTAAATAAGCTACATACATCACCACGTTTTTGTAATGTCTTCAGTAAGTAAAAGTATCCTGGGAGAAAATTGTTCCTTTCGCTAGTTATGTTTTCTTTCATATTTTTGCTGATTTCCTATATCTATCGTCGTCTAAAGTAATTCCCTGTATTTTTATCCTGCGCTGGTTGTCCTCGTTCATCTTGTCTTCTTCCTCCAGTAACGTCAATTCCTTTAATTTCTTCGC